AGTTGAAGGTCTATTATATGCGAACAGTCTGAGGTGTTCACGGCGAATGACATGAACGCCACCAATCAACCATGGCGAATTTCGTAGCGGAAGTTTAATTCAGGAGTGGTGTGCCTGATCATCGTGCTGAGATCATGTACGTCGCTGATGAGATGGCAAACCTTCTGCGCGAGCGTAGAACAATGACTCTGTTCTACAAATGAACGACCGACAGAAGGGCCGAAGTTAGGAAAAGAGAGTGGTGGTGCAGCCTTGGATATGCGCCTGACGTGCTAGAGACATCGACTAAGATATCGACTAATGTCGGTCGGCTCATCACGTCATCTTCGATTGGTCGGTAGATGATTCCGATGCCATCGGTCGCAAGGGCGACAAGGCCCCTGATGCGCGCATAGTGCGAGTCGGGATCCGGGGACGCTAGGCGTTGTCATGGTGGTGGGCGTGCAGTGGCGCTACCTGGGAACCTGCCGCAGCGTGGAGGCGGGCCTGTAGATCAGATGCCGCTAGCCGGAAGGGAGCGGAGCCAGGAACCGGGCAAAGATGAATGAGAAGACTCCGACGAGAGTCGGTCTTCAGGGTCCTGTCGCCTCTCATTACTCATGTTCTGGATGCTCGAAGAAAGTAATGCGATGGCTAGGATAATTAACAAAACCCGTCAGTAGTCATAGAGAACGGATTCAGGGTGATGCCGATTCGCGGCCGAGAAGGGTGAGCAAACGTCTTCGTTATGGCATTATTCGTGATTATCAATTACCCAATAGCTCCATCACAACCTCCGTATGTCTTCTATGTGCGTCTGAATATGGTCTGCCAGGGGCCAATCGTCACCGTGTAGGTGCGCCCGTGACATGGACTCTGGCAATGACTCGGGTGTTGCAGCCGAAACCCTTCCAGTCTTCTCGTCAACAATGAGATCGTCCAACTCAATGTAACCCTCCTTGGGGCCACGCTCCAGGTCGTCGTCTTTGAATAATGAATCTGTGCTCGTGTTCTCCAATGTACGTGATGTGTTCTTGTTCAATCGTCTTGCACTTTGATTCGCAAGTGTGCTTGCGTTGTTGGAAGGGTTGGAAGGAGTGCTTCCAGTTCCAGTAGATTTTGATTTGTTGCTTCGGTTGGTTGAGTTGTGGTAATGTGAGATGGCCGTGTTGACCGCTTGCTTGAAGAAGACACGGAGTACCGGGATGGACGTGGCAACAACAGTCATGGCCGTGTCTGCTGTTGACCAAATGACGGAGTTATACGCCTGGTCTACTTTGGTTAGCTCGTTTCAGATAGAGAGCTTCAATAGCTTACAGGAAAGATCCTGGGTCTGGAGCTGTTCGACGTATCTGGCTCGGAGAATAGATGTGACTCCCGCCAAGATACCCAGACTCATGGCAACACCAACTCCGATCTTCTCCGCGGTGCGCATCTGTAGATTCCAGAGGACCTTCCAAGGCAACAATGCTAGAGAAATATCCATAATGGCAGCCCATATAGCCTGGAATCTTCCGTATATTACGGAAGGCTCCTTGTCGATACATGTGCCGGGAAGGATATCAACAAAGGTCTTCGTTATTGGCTTGCACAGTACCCAGGGGAGGACAGCAACTGGTATCGCGAATAAGGCAAGGGTAGCGATAGCGAACCAAACGTAGGCCTTAAGCCATCCGTCAGTTAACCGAAGCAAGGTGAGCCCGAACGAGATCTTGCTAAGGATGATGCCCGTGATAGAAAAGGTGAGCGCGGATGCGCCATAGTAAGTGATACGTTCGAAGTGGCTGAAGTCAACTAGCCAGAAGGTCAGAGATAGGTTGAATAAAGTCTTCTTTGCGAAGTCTTACTGTCGAGCGCATGCTTTCCAAAACCGAGGTTGATGCTGAGTTGGTTCAAGATGAGTTGACCAAGGAGCATAAACTGTGGTATATCAGCGATCCATGATTCAGTTCGACCTTTCGCCTTACTTACCCAGCTGATAATGAGTACAATGTCGTCAAACCAGAACTTCTTCTGGGAACGACGGATCCAACAGCGAACAACCAAAAAGGCGAAAGAGACTCCACCAAGTGACCATGTCGAGACGGCCATCAACATCGAGTGCGACTCACTCGGGTCACTGCGCCAGTTATCGAATTGGGTGGACATCTTGATCGCGCTCGCGGGGGACCGAGGAGTCGGATACGATGGGAACGTCCAGTCGGTATAGGTATATCAACGTCCCACGGAGTTCCATCCAAAAACGGCTGCGTTCCTCCGGGATGAGGGTACAATCTATAGGTAAGGATGCTCCGCGGATGTCGAAATGTAAGGCACAAACTATACGATAGGCTAGTGCCTGAGACTCTTCCGCATGCCAGGGTGCGGCGAAGATCTCACCGAGCTCGATCGCAGAAGCTATCGCGATATCGAGTTTGTCAGGTATGCAATTCACTGGAAGTTTTATGCCTATTTGTCCAAGACCATCTCAAAGATGTGGGTATTCGCTGGTCAAACCTCGTCTCGGTGTGAACGTTTCTGGTACGTGCTTTGGGCTTGTCTGACTCGGGCCTGAAGCAAGAGCCGGTAAGCATCACGTCGGCGTGCACCCTCGTCATTTTCCAGATATGTGGCCAATCGCGGTTTTTGCACTTCGCATTGGCTTGAGTGGACGACGGCCCGAGAGCGGAGATCCCTCCCACTTCGCCGCTTGGTACGCGCGCTAACAAAGGGCCCGTCTGTCCCGGCAGTCATACCATCGCGGTTTTCAGGTCATGAGCGGGACTTGTGTAGATTGATGCCAGGGTGCATTCGATTGTAGTCGCAAATCTTGTTCCCTAGCAAGAGTGGGTCGGCTTCCATTGTCGCACTAGGGCCAGCGCGCGGATAGACTGATGCTCGGTCATCACCCTTTATTCTGATAAAGTTCAATGAATGCCGAGTGCGCAATCGACAGCCGCGGTTTTGGACGATCTGGAACATGCCGCGCTCGGACTTATCTTGGGGATGCTGGTAAACCTATGACCACGAAGGCAACGGGAGGAGGTTGGACCCAGCAACATCGCACCTTAGTCTGATGGGTATGCGCTGCGCAAACGTTGGCAGGGGTTGCGGTAGGTAAGTCAAACGCCCCCAATGCAGCGACGTAGGGATCTCGCAGGTACTCCAAACGTAGTCGCATGGCAGCAACATGCTGTGGCAACATTGCGCAACGAAGTTGCGGCCAACTGTTCATAAAGATGTTCATCCATAGGGTGACTGTTTCCGCCCACATGAGATAGTGTTTGTGGTTTAGTGAGTGAGATGCCAACGGCAGATCAGCCACTTCAACGTACCTAGTAGGCTGCGCGTGTGTCTGCACCTCTTTCACAAATGGCAGCAATGTGCCTGTCGTCACCATGATTGCTACCCAAGACCCCGCATTCATCGTTAGCAACGAGCCAATCGATACAAGAGTGTGACGCATCGTGATCTGGACTGGTGATGTTGGTTTTGGTGTAAGTTCAAAGACGAGGCGAACAGCCTTGTACAGCTAACTGTCGCTTGCCTTACCGCAAGTGGACTTACTACTAGACAAGTCGACCGAGCACCTCTGGTTCGTCGCTCCTAGTCGTTACGAACACTGCCGACGAATTGGACATCGCTCTGAAGCGGATGTACGGGTGTTGGGTAGTTTACACTACAAGTCGATATAGTAATGGTTCATTTTCACGATGCAGGGCGTGAAAACGCCCTAACGGTATCCTGTAGTGCATCAGCAGCGATTTGCAGCCTTTGTAAACTCTGTTATCAGCGCTGTGTTTTCGGTCCACACAGCCGCAGTTGGCCTGAATGAACATTCGTACGAGTCACATGTGTGCTAAGAAGCAGCTGTTCGTGACCAGGTCGTCGCGGTTGCAAAGGAAGTGGCGCGCTTGAATTACCCGCCGGGCGTAGGCAAGAGAGTTCAGGATGCTTGCATGCGCCCTATGCGCTGACCGCGTTCGTCGATTTCTCATGGAGGATGGCGTATTCTCCATGTCTAAGTTTCGGGATCTAAACCTTTCTCTGTAGGCCAACCAGCAACTAGGCAGCTGGAATCGGAGACAAAGTTTGCGGAGCAGATCGGCCAGCCTAGCTAGTTCGGGTTCGCACTTGCCATCGACTAAATCAACACCATCTCCCCTCCTAAATTCTCTCTACGTCAACTTCATGTTTTGTGTAGTGTAGGGCATCTGCGCTAGGGCCCAAACTTATGCGTTGCAGCCCACCATCCAGGTACCAGAGAGCCGGCACTTCGAGGCGATTTCGATCGAGGCATTCACCTCGGAGTTTTGGCCTTCGCAGCGATGACCTGCACGTATGCATAAGGTTCGACATCTTATCGCGTAGATCGAACTCGAAAGAGCAAGACATGTGAGGAGCTTCGATGCTCACACGCAGTGACGCGTATGCCCCATAGGTACAACCAGATAGGCTTCTGAATTTAGCACAAAGACAGGCGACGCGTTTTGACTATTGGGGTCGATGAAGTGTTGTCCTGAAAACAACGTTGAGGCTTGGAGGGAGTTGGCTCGAGCAGTCGGGATTGGTGGGGAAGGTGTGGCCAGCAAGTGATCACTGTCTGACTATTGAGGGGCCTGGGACAAGCAAATGCCGTCGAGGTGCATTCTCAAGGTATGCATTTCATCAAAGCAGAGAACGCGCGGTTGTCGAGCGCCGGGCGCGAAGTTGAGAGTTCGATAGAATTGATGAGAGACGCGTCTTGCCCTCGGAAGATGATTCCGAAGATGCGCACGTGCCCATCCACGTGATGCTCTCCGCATCTTGGCAGGGAAGAGGGACCCGAGAGGCGACGTCATAACCGACTGCAACTGCTCTCTATCTACGAAGGATTCATTGACGATATAACCCTAGAGCTCAATCAGGATGTACAACCGACCACGCCCGCCTGTGGAGCAATGCGCGCATGCGGGGTACCTTGAAAAGCGGTGCACCAACGGCTGAGACGCATAAGAAGTAAAGAGACCACGACTCACCCAGCTACATCAAAACTTCTCAACATGTTGGGAACCGAGTTATTGTCTCTGCTGGTACTTGCGCCATGCGCAATAGCACAAGACGTCGATTATTCGCAGTTCGTGAATCCATTCATCGGGACTGAAGGCGCGATACCTGGCTACGCATGCAAGATGCCCGGAAATATACATCAGGCTCACTTCTAACTGATACCAGACGGTGGCGGTGATGTATTCGTGGGTGGCGCAGTACCCTTTGGCATGGTTAAACTGGGCATCGACACGTATGAAGAGCCCATCAACCAGAGTGCGCTCAACGGCGGATACACACCTCAAGGCCATGTGACGGGCATCAGCTTGATGCACCAGTCAGGAACCGGCGGAGGATCGAAATATGGATACCCTTCACAGATGCCGCTGACGAGCATTGATGGCGATGTCAATTTACTGGACAATCGGACTTACTGGCAGGATCGAGTAGGGTCATCAAGTGTGACGCATAGGCAGCTTCTGACAAGCCTCTAGGTTGGCGAAGACGTCGCACAAGTTGGCTATTTCCGTACCGAGCTTGAATCTGGTGTCAAGATAGAGCTTGCGGCCTCTCGACACGCAGGATTATACCATTACACATACGCGTCTTCGTCCGAGAAGCACGTTCTGGTTGACCTGTCGCACTACCTACCCCATCTGACACGCTCATGGGATTCTCAATTCTACACAGGCGGCGAGATTGAGATTCAACCGAACAACAGCACATATACTGGCTACACATCCATAGCAGGTGGGTGGAACGTTGGTGTAAGGAATATCGCTGTACGAACTGCATGTGAGACATGTACTGACTTCGTACACCTACGTTTAGGCACCAGTCACCGTGTACGTGTGCGGCGAATTCGATAGCCTGCCTGACGAGGCACGTGCTTTCAAGGGGAAGAACACATTCCCTGTCAGTCGACACTTCCGGTCGTTCAATAATGGCACAACACCTCGGCCTACGTATACTGGATCAACAACCCGGTCGGGGCCCATGAACGACCGCGTTGGAGCAGTATTCAGTTGGACCAATGTCACCGAGATCAAATCGCGAGTAGGCATCTCCTTCATGTCTGTTGACAAGGCATGTTCGTACAAGAACGCCGAGCTGTCCTGGTGGTCAATTGAGGATACCGCGCAAGCGACGCGTGACGAATGGAACCGCGATGTCTTTTCCAAGATTCGCGTTGACACATCGGAGTCGGCAAACAAGACCAGGCTGGCGTTGCTATACTCCAGCTTGTATTTCATGCACCTTATACCCAGCGAGCGTGTAGGCGAGAACCCGCTATGGGAATCGGATGAGCCATATTGGGATGGTAAGTCCTGGCTGTACGAAATGCATGTGAGACATATACTGACTTCGTACCTCTACCTCTAAAGACTTTTACACTATGTGAGTGTGAAGGTGCCATCGCGTTGAAAGCAGACGTCACACTAACCGCTATCAGGTGGGATCTATTCCGAAACCAGGTCTCGCTCTGGCACCTCATCCAGCCAAGCTACTATGAGTCCATGATTCGGTCTCTGATCGACATGTTCAAGCAAGAGGGCTACCTTCCCGATGGCCGATCTGGCAATTACAACGGTCTGGTCCAGGGAGGATCCAACGCCGACAACGTCCTGGCAGATGCCTACGTCAAGGGCTTGACGGGTATGATCAACTGGACGGAAGGCTATGCAGCAGTCAAGAAGGATGCCGATGTCTTACCTTTCTTCGACGAGAACCCAGTCGATCCACATGGGTCGCTGAAGGAAGGCCGTGGCGCGCTGAAAGACTGGATAGAGCTTGGCTATGTCTCGGCTGATCGCAGCACGCGTGCAGTCTCAAAGACAGTAGAGTACTCACTCAATGATTTTGCTGTCAGCCAGATCGCAGCTGGTGAAGCGCCTGGCGATCGTGACCTCTACCTCCGTCGGTCCGCAGGTTGGCAGATGAGTTGGGATCCTGAGTCTGCGAGTCGTAACTTTTCCGGTTTCGTTATGCCGCGATACGCGAACGGCACTTTCCACAAGACCTACGACATTACTGACTGCGGCGATTGTAACTGGGAAGATGAGAGCTACGAAGGCACTGCTTTTGGTGAGTCGCTGCCTGTCTGCATGCAATCCTCTTCTACTTGTACACTAACAACAGGGTAGAGTATTCCTTCGTTGTTCCCCACGACATCTCGCGCGTCATCACACTAATGGGAGGCCCTTCGCACTTCGAGGACCGCCTCGACTACGTATTTCAACCAAACACGTCTGGCGTCGACCTCGGCGTGAACGGACTTGGTATCACCACCATCAACAACGTCGCCAACGAACCCGACTTTGAAACACCCTACCTCTACAACTACCTCAACAAGCAGTGGAAGAGCGTAGAGCGAAGCCGACAGCTTGCTAATGACTTCTACTTCAACACAACCAATGGTATACCCGGAAACAGCGATGCAGGAGCCCTGAATTGCTGGCTCATATGGCAGATGCTGGGATTGTATCCTATAGTCACCACGCCCGTATATCTTCTGGAAAGTCCTTGGTTCTCCGACATCAACATTACTGTCAATCATGACAAGACGTTGAGGATCAGGGCCGAGGGGCTGGATGACGGAGACGGCAGGCAGGGGTACTACGTCCAGGGCGTGAGCATTAACGGGGAGGAGTGGGGGAGGAACTGGTTCGAGCATGAAGACGCGGGTGGTATCATGACTGAGGGGGGCGAGATCGTCTTCAGGCTTGGAGAGCAACAGACTGTGTGGGAGTCAGGCGATGTGCCGCCTAGTCCTGGACATCAGGTTGTTGATGTTGGTGAGGGCGCACAGTTCGCTTAAGATGATGCAACATAGCACTGCGCCAACCCGCGTCGTGACGGTATAAATGGTGGTAGGCAATTGCGTTAGGAGAGACTATCAATACATGTTCGTGATATCAACCTCCGTCAAAGGTCAAACCCCCCGCCAAGACACCCGACACATCTGACACACTCCGCACACCCTCCGATCACGTGAACCACTCTGAAACACCTCCTGCGACAGCGCAACGACACCCATCCGCCACGGCATTGACCCCGCTGATAGGCCAGAACACTTCACCCAGAGGGACGCGTCACCAGCAGACCGCACAATAGTACAAGCCCAGTGCAAGTCAACCAACAGCATGAATCATGCACGATATATCCGCACTCATTATAGGTACCTCGCCTCCGACACCCGGCGCCTGAATTCGCAGGCGACAAGGCGATCACACAGCGACAGCCTCAGCGCCACGGAGAGCATGACACGGTGCACTGGAAGCGTACTGCGGGGTGCACATCGCGGGTGCCTGAGGAAAAGGCATAAGAAGGCTGTCTCGCCCATTGTGTTGAGAGGCCATCAAGCAACATCTTCTTCGCACTACAAACAACCCACTTCTATTCCATTCTTTCTTTGCGTCTGTGACTGCAAAAGCTGACCTGGTGTCATTCGTTCAAGCGTACTATACATAATCTCCCTCCCGATTATATTTCGATACCTAAAACCATCAATATGCGTTTCTCCATCGCTACTCTTCTCACCTGTAAGCGACCACCATTTTACACCTGCCATGCACAGGCACTCAAAGACGTCATATACTAACACCCCCCAGTGGCCGCCGTCTCCATGGCCCAAGTCACGCCCAACAACGCAGGCGCCAAGAACGTCGGCGCGGGCGACGGTTCGCAGTTCATCACCGGCGGCTGCGTCTCGGATGCCGACTGCAGCTCCGCCTGCTGCAGTCAGGTCGCCGCGACCGGCGACGGTGTCTGCTCTGCTGAGGCGGCTAGCCAGCAGAACGGAAAGACGGGTTGTGGATTCACGGACCCGAATGCGGATGCGGTGATTGCGGCGGCGCAGGACCAGGTTGCGCAGCAGGGATTCAAGAGGGTTGTTCGTAGCGAGTAGTGTGTTGCTTCGAAGAGGATGGTGTCGCGTCAATGATAAGATGGTTTGACGGTGGCTGTGTGTTGTGCTCTGGTTGTGATGTTCCTTCTACAACGTGAATCAAGCTCAGCTAGTTCATGCGCATTTTAAAATTCGCTCCAGATCGAATCATGTCTTCGACGTGGAGCGGATTCTAAAATGCGCATGAACCAGTTGATCTGTGATGATAACCTCAATGAGCATATCCGCTTCCCGCTCCAAAAGCCGCCCACAGCCGAGCCACCCAAAGCGCCAATATCAACTCCCGACATGTCTGGTCTAGATCATGCCTCAGTTCAATCGTGGGCATCTTGCCTCCAGGCCCCATCTTCAACACCTCTGTCGCAACGACATGGCCTTCGCTGTCTTTCCACTGGCTAGGTTCCAGCTCGTTCTTCCTCTGCTTCAGTGCCTTTGTGAATCCTCCTGGCTTCCCACACGTCATAATCTCATTCGGTCGACTGCCCTGCGTGGGCATATGCACTACATGCCATCGGCGCAGGCCGAAGCGCAATTGCAAAGCGCCGGGTAGTGTGCTCCCTGCTTTGCCTTGGATGTAGTATTCGTTGATGAGGAAGGGTGGGTCGTGGGCTTCGTATAGCACGCTGCTGCTGTCGAAGGCGACGGTTGGTGCGCCGGATTGGAGAAACGTGATCTCTTCGGCTTTCAGCCTCCGTATCCGTAATTTGTTGATTCGCGCATCGAGGAGGGAGGAGAGTTGGTAGGCGGGCGCGTTGGGTGTGTGGATGAAAGTGCCGTAGATGGTGAAGGTCGTGGCCTTCTCGTCGACGGTGGCGTATGCGGGAGGTAACTCGGGCGGAGGCGATGCTGGTACGATTGTGGGTGTTGGCTCTGGGTCGACAGCAGGTTGTTCGGCAACGGCGGGTTCGGAAGGAGGTTGTGGTACTGTGGTGGGCGGAGGCGCGACGACGGCTTCTTCGTATGAGGGTATTGGCGCGTTGATGTTCGGGCGAGACATGGCTGCGATAACCAGGAAAAGCACGCAAGCAGTTGCTCAGTCTGGCTGGCAGTGCTCAAAGAATTGCACAAGATGAGATTTCAGAGGCTGTGTTTCGCCAAGCATGCTGTCGTATTGAGTGATTGATGATGTGAACACGGCAAGCCCGGCGTGACGTACTTCATCCACAACCTCGGCTTCTTCCGCCTGCCAAGACCCCACACCTGCAGTCTCTCCCCACGTCACACCACGAGTCCCATGGCAGTCGCGTGTGGAACCTAGACGCATCCGAGCCAGAATACTCGAAACGCAGCACCCCACCATCATGTTGGCGGCTCTTTGCACTTGTGCATCTTTGTCCAACAAGCCAAGTCGATCATGCGAATCTCGTGGCCCTTCTCCTGCAACTCAAGCAAGAGTGGTTTTGCTAGATCAAGGAACTCAGCGCCGCGCTTACTATCAGCAGGAAAAATCGATAGAGAGACAGTTACGCCGAGACTGGCTGAGCTCAAGATCTTTCTTAAATCTCCAATAGTCTCCTCCATATCTGACTCAATCCTCCAACTATTGTCAAAACGCATGACGAAGGTGATGCGGCCGGCGATGTTTTTGGGGAGTACACTTGCATCGATGTTCGACCACCACGGAAGCTTTGCGATGATATGGTGGATAGACAACGGCTGTGCGCACATGTACTTCTGAATGATGAACGTCGTTCTCCAATGGAATCTTTCGAGGATCTCATCAGCTAGTGGGTGGGTGGTTGATATCATGGGGTATGGACAGCCGACTGGTGGAGTAGGTATAATACCGTCCGATGCTCCTGTGTGGATGGAGAAGCCAGTGTTGTCTGTTGCTAACTTGATAGTGTAAGTGTTCTCCCTCGGGAGTAGATGGTCGTATACCATGTCCCTAACCTCCCGTGGTAGCTCCCCTGTTGGCAGCGATCCGAACATTCTGTCGAGGAGACTGGGGTGTACGAGCTTGGCGTATTCTCTGAGGACATCCGCGAGCGTCTGGTGGATGTACAGTTCCTTCGGTTCAACCTCGGAACGCTTCCGAAGCTCTGCATTGATACGACGCTCTGCCAAACCGAGCTTCAATGTAGCTGTGTCCTTGCTGGTCGGGTCGGCGAGAGACGGTGGACCGCTTTGAGATTTTGGATCAAGTCGTTTCTCGATGTCCTCGAGAGTCGAAAGCTGCTTTTCTTTCCATGATTTCAGCTCTTGCAGCGTAGAGTCAAATCGTTCCTTCTCAGCTCTCAGTCTCTCCGCAATGACATGTAGACTGCCATCCTGGACGTTAGCTAAGGTTATTTACGTTACGACAGAAAGCCTTGACTGACCTGAAAGCTCGAAGACGGTAGTGCTCATACTCCGTCGAGGCAGGCGAAGAGCGTTCGAAGACATCTACGAAGCCGAATCGGTCACTAGTGGTATGGGTTGTAGACATCGCGAACACCTGAGTAATATATTGGGTGGTTTGTTTTGATGTTACGCAAAACACCAAAGGACCCAGGTATGGGTTATGACACTCAGCTAGCCGAAAAACTAGACCCAAAGAGGCAAATTTGGAAGGCTCCGGTGCCAGTACACCAAAGAACGCGTCAACAAAGATTGAGTGACTTGTTTTTCACATTTCTTTACCTAGGTACACACTACCGTGAGTACGTGATTAACGCTCACTTTAATTGAGATACTCCAATCTTCCATACGAACCAAGGTTGAGAACTAGACGCCAATCCTATCCTCCGCATTTCATACGACCCACACGCAAAAGAATGCCCCCGAATAAGAAGTACCGCCACCCCGAGAGCTCAACAGATAACGAGCCTTGCGATTGACGTAATTTGAACCGGCAAAGCCACTACTTTCGCGTCCTGGACGAAGCAGCGCTTGTCACAAGCGGTGATTACACTTCGTATTGCATTCGGCAAAAAGTAAAGCCACTATCTGAGCAGGGGTATACATCTTCTTTGTAGTTATTCACTTATTAGGATTTAGCAGTGTATACGCAGCAAATGCAACACGCATCATAGCCCTTCCTGGTATCGTGTTCACATCATCTGACCCTCCGCCCTCATCTCCGTCTTCTCCCCAGCATCCAGATTACGTCCCGAAGGGTACATCTGATGCGGAGATCGCCTCATATACTCGCGGACTTTCACCTATTGAATCTGATTAGTGCCATACACTCTTATACAAGACTCAGGTTGACGACATACCTTACGGAACTGCCGGCGATTAGTCCACGTATCGGTGAACGTGGCGCTTCCCTCCCCCGCCGTCCATGTCCACCCGCTAATTTTATCGTCCAAGTGAATCTGGTGGCCTCGAGCCTTCAATGCCATCAGGCTCGGGAATATAGTCTCCATGATGATATGAACGTTCTCGTTATGAACAGCGGCATCGATCTCGGTCCCAACATTCGAGACTGATAGTCGTTCGGTAGTAGCTAACATGGCTTGGCGTATAGTTGGGTCGGTGGGAAGTAGACACTCATATCCTCTACGCGTAGGACCAATTTGGGAATGCCAGTACATCTCTTTGCTAGGGAAGATCACTTGGATACGTGCTCGGGTATTGGTGAGTTGCTGTAGTAGGTCGAAGCGCTGACGGAGTAGAATTCTACGCTCTTTAACCTGGTAAATGTCCTCGGGCATGTAGATGCTGATTGTGGAGAGCCAGCGTTTTGGTACGATATCTTGCTTCCACGCATCTTGGTTGAGAACCCTGCTTATTAGCGCGTCGTGTTGGATATTGAATTGGCCACGTCGGTAACGAAGTTGTAAGATCTCTAAAGCTGACTCTTTGCCGACGATGGATGGATCGATGTAGTAAGGATCTTGGCCTCGATCGACGACACTTGCTGCCATGTTGGTCCGGTGGAAAAATGTAGAGCGTGGTTTGTTGGTCGTCTTCAGTACGTATCCACTACCCTCCAACCAGATGTCAAACGACGGGTTCTCGAGATCCATCAGCTCGGCGTAGACCATGTCACGCAGCTCTCGCGGTAGGTGATCTTGCGCGGCCTGTAGTATTGGTGGGGATTCTAGACGGGAGCATTCAACAGCGGTGTAATACAGACGATCCTTAGCTCGTCGCAGTTGCGCCCTTAGTCTTACACGCCGGGCTCCGTGTCCCTTAGAGCACCTAGGCATGCAGTAAAGGTAAAATTGTCGACGGTACTTTGAAGCGGTTCAATTTTCTTAGCGGCTCTGCGTGTTCATCAGCGTGCGGTCTATTTTCATTTGGTGATAAGACTCACTAGTATCCATCTGCACGCAGCTCCACAAGCGTCGAGACCTTGCGTGTCTTCGTATAAACCATAGTTAACTGCGATTTTGGTGTAACTTAGGCGAGATTAACGTATTCGCGCGTTGAAGTTAGCCGTTACAAAACTAAGAGCGGGCCCTGTGTGTAGATCGGCGTTTATATAATTTTTAGAAATTACACTAGAGTATATAAAGCTTATAGACTTCTAAATAAGTTAAATTTATAAGAAAATAAGCTTTTTACTTACTTATAGTAATAATTAGCTAAAGTAATAGTTTTAAGTTAAAAAGCCTAAGTAAAAGCTATAAATAAAAATTTTATTAAATAGCTAAAAAATATTTTTAATAAGTACTATATAACTTTATAAGCTTTTATAAGTATAAAAATAACTAAAGTTATAAAGTATAGTTATAGTAGTAAAAGAAGCTTTTAAATATATTTAAAAATCTTATTTAAAGCTTTTTTTCTACTTTTTACTTATACTATATTACTTAAAATACTAAGTAAGTACTATTTTTTCTTACTACTACTTTTACTAACTTAATAGTTTTAAAATATTTTTATTAAATAACTTATACTACTTTATTATTTACTATTTTAAAGCTTAAACTCTTTACTATTTTATAATAACTAAATATTAAGTATATAAAGCTTTAAATTTATAAAAAAAATTATAAGCTATATAGCTATTTTACTTTTATACTAACTAGTAACTAAGTAAACTTTTTTTTAATTATTAAAAGTAATCTTAAAGTTTAGTTTATTAGTAGTATTATTATAGTAATAGCTAAAAAAAAACTTACTTTAATAATTATAGTAATAAAATATAATATTTTTAAAAAAACTATAAAAGTTAATTATTAAATAATAGAGTTAGTTAAATACTAGATACATAATATTAGACTATAATTAGGTATATTATTCTAAAAAAACTAAAGATAAATTACTACTAAGCTATAATAGCAATTCTAAGGTATTTATAGCTAATACTAAGTTAGCTTAAACTCTTTAAGGCTAGAATCTAATATTATCTTCTCTCTTAAAGTAAATTACTTTTAATCTACTTTTAAGGTTATTTAATAGGCTAGATAAGGTAACTATAGCTTATAATAAGCTATTTTAGCTTATAATAGCCTATTCTAAGCTAGCGTAGGTATATTATATTTATAGAAAAGTAGAAATTTATTATAAAAAGTAGTAGTTCTAGAAAATTACGTATAGACGCGCGTATAAGGCTACTATCTATACTAGTAAAGCTAGCGTAGGCCTATATACTCTAGGTATTTCTAGCTAGTTAGATTTCTCTTTTTTATTTTCTACTCTTTAATTACTCTATAATAGTAAGTATTAGCTCTTTTTACTTATTATTTTTAGAATTTTAAAAAAGTCTAAAGTAATCTATTATAGCTTATTTTAAAGTATAATAAAGTAGTTTAGCTTAAATTAAGAGTTTCTAGCGTAAATTATACTAAATTACTACTAACTAGCCTCTAGTACTTTAACTAAAACTATTAATACGCACTTTATACTAATTTACTCTTTTTTTACTTATATTTACTTTTTATACTTTATATTACTCTATTTTAAGCCTTAATAGCTTTTTTTATCTTAACTTAACTATAGTTAGTAATAATTAGATTACTATAAGTTACTTCTACGTACTTAGGCTTCTTAAGATTAGTTATGCGCTATATACTAGTTGCTTATAGTTATAAAAGCTTAATAAGCTTTATATATTTAACTACTATAGCTATACTTTTCTAGTTCTTAAGACTAAGAAAGAGTATACTATCTTTACTAGTATAATTAAGAAGGTTACTAGCGTACTATCTAGAGATACTATTACTTAAACTATTTTATATAGCTAGTATTAGGCTATAAATAAGTAGTACTTTGCTATAAGTACTTATTTTACTCTCTTCTAGCTACTATTACTCTTTATTAGCCTCTATAAAGCTAATATATAGTAAATAGCTTTAGAATAGATAGTTTTAGTCTATTTTAGCCTATTTTAGGCCTTTTTGCGCTAATACTAACTATTATAGTCTTTAGAGAATCTTATTAACTTAGAAACTATATATAAAATTATCTACTAATTATTAGTTAACTAAAAGCTTATTAGTAAAAAGTCTATTATTCTATGTTCTTAAGCTTCTAATAATACTTTAACACCTACTTTACTAGCTATAGAAAACTTTAAGCGTAGTAACTTACACTACTTAAAAATAGACTTAGTAGAAGAGTATAAAAGCGTTTATAATAATATTATTAAGTAAGTTTTAATCTATATTAGTCTATTTTAGCCTAATCTAGTGTTTTATAAGCTTTTCTATTCTTTCTAGAGTTAGTAAGGCCTTTATAGAGCTTAAAAGAGCTAAGTTAGCCTATAATAGTTTATTCTAGACTATTTTAACTAACTTTAGTAGTAACTACTTCTCTAATTAGAAGTACTTATAATTTTATTTTAGCGTACTTTATAGCTATACTACTACTAAGTCTAGCGTATACTCTAATAATAAAACTAAGGCTAAGACTATAGTTACTAGCTTTACTAATAGTACTTTCTATATATTTAAGAAGAGAGCTAATAAAGTTACTAGTACGCTTAATGCTAGATTACTATTTAAGTAATTAGTAAGTTCTAAAATACTTTTTTCTAGGCTTTTATAGCTCTAATTAGCTTTTTATAAGTTACTAGTAGCTACTTTACCTCTATTTACTTTTTTTTAGCCTTTTATAGTCTATTTTAGTCTATACTAACTTTTTTTATAGTATTCTACTTTAAAGTCTACTAAATAGGCTATTATTTCTATAGTTAAAAATCTATAGAATGCTATTTAAAAACTTTAAGTAGAGCTTACTTTCTAGCTAAAGAGTAATAAAGCTACTACTAAAAAGAGCTAGCTTAAGAAGTAGATTAAAAGTAAAGAAGATAAAATTAAGCGTTTTAGAGCTAGTATTCTCTAAGTTACTCTTAGATAACCTCTAATAGTCTCTTATAGCTTATTTTAGTCTATTCTAGAGTAATATAAGCTCTTCTAGTATATTTAGATAGAGTTTAATAAAGTTTATATAGAATTAGTTTAGACTAAGTAGTACTAGCCTACTTTAGACTATTATAAACTATTATAGTATAGTTAGAAGCTCTTAAGTAATATCTAGGTTAGAATTTCTCTATAAATATAAAAGTTCTTTATAGTAGTTAAGGTTATTTATCTATATAAATTTGCCTAAAGTGTAATATTTTATTTTTTAAAACTAATTATAAGGTCTAAAGAACTAATAACTTTACGCTAGAAAGAGTTAGAGTAAAATAGCCTATACTAGGCTTTTTTAGACTATTAGAGGCTATTCTAGTCTAAGATACTATTAAATACTCTAAAAAACTCTATATAAAGAAAAAAGGTAAAAGTATACTCTAGTTTATACTAGAATAGCTTATTATAGCTTAACTTAACTTATTCTCTTTTTTTATAAAGCTACTTATAGTATTATTTCTTAGGCTAGACCTTTAAAGATTTTCTACACTATTATATTCTTTTCTTATTCTAGAACTTTTATAGCGTATTAGCTAAGATATTTAGATCTAGTTTCTATAAGTTTTCTTTCTTTAGGTATCTAATCTATTTAATTAAGTACTTTTATTAGTTATTTTTATTACGCTGTTTTTTAATAATACATTCTACTTTATATATATTATTACTAAATTTTCTTAAAGTATTTTACTTAGGCGCTTTAAAGTATAGAATAGTATCTTTTAAGTTAAAAGACTCTAAAAGTAATATATAAAACACTAAATAGATACTATTAAGTTCTAGAAGGTTAACCTAGAAGGCTAAAAGGCTAATTTAGTCTATAATCTTTCTAAGTCTAAAAAACTTCTAATCTAGCTTTTTCTTTAAGTAAGTACTTTTAATATATTAGTTAGAGACTAAGACTTAGTTTTCTACCTTAAAGAGTATTAGCGTATAGTACTTATTAGCGTACTCTTTCTAGTAAGTATTTACTACTTTAATTTTTTTATAGTACTTTTACTATAGTTTAATTACTTATTTAGTAAGGCTAGCTTTTATAAAGCTTTCTCTTTTACTAAGAGCTAAATTAGGCTAATTTACTCTATAAGAGTATCTTTTATAGTAGACCTAAAAAGAAGTAACTCTAGTAGTAGAGTAGATACTATTATTATATATAAACTCTTTAATAGATATTTAGCGCGCTTAATTATTTTATTCTAAAGAGTAATAGTAGTAAAGGTACTACTCTAAAGTCTAGTTTTACCTTTTAGTCTAGCTATTAGTCTAAAGATAAAAAGTAGAAGTAAGAACTTTTTTAGTATTAAGGTAGTAAAAAAAAGAATTCTAATACTTAGAGTTTATTAAAGAGCCTTAATTTAAGATAATACGCTTTAGTACGCTGTAAAGTTAAATAACTTTACGTATTTAAGCCTATACTAGATTAGTACTATTCTAATTAGCTTATACTAGTACGTAATAAGCTATTTTAGTTAATCTATTTATAATAACTAGTATAGCGTTGTACTTTATACTAGAAACTATACTAGGTAGTAGTTCTATAATAAAGTTTATTATTACCTTTTTTTAAGAGTAATTAAGTATTAAAAGAGGCTATAGTAAGCTATAAGGTCTATACTTTATAAGAGTAGACTTTCTATATATAAAGTAATTCTTATAGTATTACTCTATATCTTTATATATACTCT